ATAAAGTTGCTTAAGTAAAACTTCATTAGCCAGATTTTTTTTTAATTAAAAAATTGTTAAAATTTGCATACCAACAGTCTTTGAAAGCAAAGACATAAAAGTTAACCCACTCCCCATATTGCCCATGAAATCCTTCTGGCTACTTCAAATTTCTAGCCAAAAAGCTAAAAAAAGCTATTAAACACCTAAAGTTGTACCAAGTAAACTCCTCAAAAGTAAGTGTGCTTGTCCTAGTTTGTTGCTCCAAAGCTCTGTAATAAAGTTATTTTACTAAAAAAGTGTACATAACATATTAAATAATAAAACTAATGTACTGTATAATAGCAATCTGTATGTGTTCATTGTTAAAAAAGTGTATAAGTAAAAAGTAAAAGTTTCCTTTGTAAGTTAAAAAAACCAAAACAAGTTAACTAAAAAAAAAAATAGCTAGCAAGCTCAGTCCAAAAATAAAATGCTAGCACCAAGCTTAGCCCACTGCCCTTACAAACACATCAAAAGTACCATCTAATCTGTAGCCATAAAAACATACTTAAAAACTTTCTAAGTAGAAGTGTAAACGTTCTCAGTACTCCTTCCAAGCATATAAACCAGTTCAAAAAGTGTAAGTTCCCACATACCAAATCCTACCAAGTCCATAAAAAAATGCATGTAAAATTAAGTAATTCACCAAAACATCTAAAAAATTAGACCTCCTAATATGCCCAATCAATTTTTAGTCAGTACTCCTAAAATTACATCTAACATTTAAATAAAGTTAAAAAGTCAATAGACATTTTAGCCGTTACAACCCCCACAGCTTCAGTGTATCCGTAAACTGAAGCCAAAAAAAGTTGTTACTCTTCATAACTACGTTTGCTAAAAAAAATAACAAAAAACTACCCTAACAAAACACTTATTTTTTTAAGCTAATGATAGCTGTGTGTATGTTAAAGCCACCACATTGCAAGACATAAATTTTAATCTCATTACCACTGCAGGCAATCATATTATTTACTGGCCTGCAAATAAAATTTTGCAAGTAATCCTTAAGTTCCAAATACCCTTTAATTAAACTAGTTTAGTACCTAATCAATTTCAAAATTTGCTTTCACTGTTACCAAAAGTTCAAAAAATCTCTAAAGTACAAAAGCAAATTCACATGCTTCAAAATATGTAACCAAGTTAAAAAGTATGCCTTTCAAACAACTTATAAAGTCTAAGTATAATGTATTGTGTTATATAACTAAAATTGTACAACAACCCCATCATATTATCGCTATAAAAATGTTATTGCTTGTGTTGTGCAAAAGTATGTTATTGTTGTTGTAAAAAACATAATAGTAATACCTTTCATGTCCATGCTCATCATGCATTGTCATTACATCCAATCAAAACCCCTAAAGTTAAAGCATATAATGTAAAATCTAACTTCCAAAATTTAATGCAAATAAAAATTTGAAAATGTTTGTTGTACTAGTAGTACAAAAGGGGGGGTTGTAGAAGCAAAAAAAGAACTGACAAAAAGAAAATGCAATACATGACAGTTCGTTAGCAAAAGTCAGGCTAACTGTAACCCTGATAACGCAAAATTAGTAGAAGCAAAAATTGTGTAAAGCGAGTAAAAAAGAACTGTGTAAGAAGTCATTATGACCTGGTATAGATAAGGTGTAGAAAACCTTGTTTAAATAAAGTATAAAAAATATTGTATGTTGGCAAAAGTCAAAACAAGTAAAAAAATAAAATATCAAAATAGCCTATGTATAAACAAAATGCAACTGTTGCTCATTATTGTCTAACAAAAAATATAAATGCTTGCTGTAATTGTTTACTTGTTGAGAGACCTGCTTAGCTCTCTCCCTCTGTGCAATTGTAAAAGTTAATAAAGCATCTGACTTGCTATACTTAAACAAATAGTAAGAACTCTGTTTTTCTCCAACACTCTGATCCATTCACCACACCTTGCCCTTATCCTCAGTATCTCCTGGCTGGCCCTCCACCACCTGCTCATTTGGTAGCAGGCACAGGAAGTCTATTTTCCATTAGAGTTTTGTCAGCAGCACTGTTGGGGATTGGTAGATCCTGTCCCAGCATCAGAACCCTGAGAGGCTCAAGTGGTGGTGGCGATCCAGGCTTCTGTTGAAGCTACATCTGAACTCCCCTCAAAATACCAAGGCTATCACCAATATTTTTGGTAACAGAAATGTTCATCATAAGCCAGCGAGGGAGGTGAGAAGAAGCTATCCTCCCTTGCACAGTCTCTGTTGTCTTCCAGTCATGGTGATTAATTGGTGGGGAGGCAAAAGTGGGGGGAGCCCAGGCCCACCCTCTACTCCGGGCTCCAGCCCAGGGACCCTAATAGTAGCAGCTAAGGTAGCTGACCTTTTAGAAACAAGGCACATACAATTCCCTGGGCTACTTCCCCACAGCAGCCCCCACTTCCTCAAGCTCCACTTCACCCTTACCTCAGGGCCTCCTTCCTTGTGCCTGATATGGTGTGTACTGCTCAGTCTCTCTAACAACACAACTTTCCTCTCACAGCTCCTGACAGGGACACCCACCTGACTCACTGGGAGGCTTTTAACTAGTTTCAGCCAGCCCCTGATTGGCTTCAGGTGTCTCAATCAACCTAGCATCCTCTCTGCCTTCTGGAAAGTTCTTAATTGGCCCCAGGTGTCTTAATTGACCTTGAGCAGCTTCCATTTACTTATCCTGGTACCAGGGATTTGTTTAGCCTGGGGCCAATATATCTATCTCCCACTATTCTCCCATACTCAACTGGCCGTGCCCCGTCACAGGTGCCAGCCAAGAATCAGACCTCATGCTCAAATCCTGTAACTTTCCCAGTTCAGCTCTTCACAATGAGAAGAGCTACATTGATACTCTTTGCCTGTGCCTCAGGAATTCCACCCGATGAACAAATTATTACCAATGAGCAACTGCACGACTCCCAGGAAGGGATCACTAGTGAAGGGACTGGGTCTGTGTTTTCCCAGGACTTATAAGAGCCTTGTTCCTGAAACCCTGCCATGCCTTTCCCCTCACAGGACACTTGGGGTGCATTATGACTGAATGATTCATTTCCCACTCTTTTGGGTAGTCTTGGATGCACCCCACAATACAGTCATTCATTGCCTCCTGCGAGGTGTGTGCTGCACCAAGCACTGTGTCACAAGCCCTGCAGTCTCCTTCACCCCTTGGCCACCCCATCTCAACCCTGGATGGCTATTGGCAGAGACTTAAATGTATAATTTCTGGAGCCCAACAAATTTACAACAGTTCTGACCATAGTGAACCACTTTACCAAAATGGCCGACTTCATCCCCTGCATAGGCCTCCATTCCACTGCAAAGAGAGCTCAGCCCTAGCTTAGCCACGTAGTCTCCCTCCAGGTCCATGAAGCTGGGTTTCCCTGCTGAGGACAGCCTCTCCTGCACTACCTGCTTCTCCTACCTGCCACTAATCTCCTGGTCACCCATTACCTGACCCTGCCTGACACCTGACTCTCAGCTTGCCCTCTGGCCTGTCTCACACGCTGGTCCCCTGGTATCCAGGCCACACACATCCCAGTGTGACACTGTTTGGCCAGAGGGATGCAAAGTCAGAGTGCTAATCTGAGAATGGGAATGGGCCATAAGGAAGGGATTGTGTCTAAGAATGGGCATTTCCTGAGACTGTCTGAACCTCTCCCAGTCCCAGCAGGGTCACAGGAGACAGACTGGCTGCCTGCTAGAGAGAGTAAGGAAGCTGGGAATGAGGGGACTCTCTTCAGTATCCAATCTCAGGGAAAAATGCAGCATTTCCTTGGACAAATGGTGACCATCTGGGCCTGTGTGGGGATGGGCTAAGCTGAGAGATCTCAGGTTCAGTTACACAGACACTGATACGTTGCTCCCAGGTGCTGATCTAGCCTGGTAACTCTGTAACCCCCAAATCCTGATGCACAGACACCAGGCCCATTCAGTTACCTTTATGTCCCTGTAACTCTGTCTCCACAGCAATTTTCTTTCCAGGGTGGAAGTGTTTCAAGTCAGGTTCAGGTGGCTGTGTCTGAGAAGGGAGATCTTCAAACCTGAACACAGTAATTACTGTCATCATTACCTACATTCTTTATCCATTAACACAACAACTTACTGGGGGTAAAGGAGGAAGGAAGAGGAGAAAAGACCTTTTAAATATTGTACAAATGACTAACACATGGGCCTAGGATTTAGCAGAGATGATGTGGCCAAATCACAGAAAAATTCGACAATCTCTTCCATCATTTTCTTTCCTTTCCATGACTCATGCACCTTCCTGCTGAAATTAAACAACTGCAGTAGAAAAGCAAAATGACTCCAGATTCCAGCGGAAAAATTGGGATCCAACATCCAGTAGTGTCCCACACTCTCAAGCTCTCTTTACACTGGTGTGTGTATGGGGCAGGAACTTTCCCCCAGAGATTCCTCCCACACCATAGTGAATTTCACAATCTTACCTTTGCCTCGGGCCCTTTATATTCTCCTAGAAGGGAAGAGAAAAACAACATTCAGACTCTATTCGGCAATATGATCCTATGGAGATTAATTTCTGCAAATCAGATTGTAAAACATTGTCTGAAATCCCCTCCTGTCTCCTCTAAAATAAAATTCTTGCTGTGAGATGTTTGTTAGGAAGGTATTTGGAAAAGTTATACTGTACATACCTAGCCATAGGGTACGTCTATACTTACTTCCTGGTCCGGATGTAAGCGATCGATCTTCTGGGATCAATTTATCGCGTCTTGTCTAGACACAATAAATCGATCCCGGATCGATCCCGGAAGTGCTCGCCGTCGACGCTGGTACTCCAGCTCGGCGAGAGGAGTACGCGGCGTCGACGGGGGAGCCTGCCTGCCGCGTCTGGACCCGCGGTAAGTTCGGACTAAGGTACTTCGAATTCAGCTACGTTATTAATGTAGCTGAATTTGTGTACCTTAGTCCGAAGTGGGGCGTTAGTGTGGACCAGGCCTTAGTCTTGTCAGGTTTGTCAGCATTGCTGGCAGGACCAACCGGCTCCTGAGCACAGCCAGGCAAACCATGGCTGCCTCCTGCCTGTGTGGGGTGTGAGGGAGGCTCTCTGCATCCTCTCCCCTTGCTGCCATTTGGCCCTTAAGGGTCAGACTGTCCACACAGCTCAGCACCCAGCAGCTTCCACTTGTTCTCATGGAGAGATAGAGGGGCCATGAGGAGTCTCCCTTGTTCTCAATGGCAGCTACTCAGTGTGAGCTCTTTTGAAAATCTGGCCCCCCACGGTGTATAAAGAACACCCCCCCCCCCATGGATGGCACTTCCAGCTGGGTGTCTCCTCCTCTGTGTGGCCCAGTCTCTAAAGGGAGATGGTCAATTGGCAAGGACCATAAAGTGAGTGTGCACTTGCACATCTTTCCAGAGGAGAAACACACACACTGTGCGCTCTCTGCTGGAGGCCTTTTGTTCTGTCTTGTTTTGTTGGAATGGCAAATTGTTATTTAGGCTGAACATTTGTGTGGCAGAAACAGAATTCAGTGTCAGCTGCTCCTCACTGGGTTACTGAGGCTTCCCCTTAATAGCAGGGTTTTTTCCCCTATAGAGGAGTTTACCTTTAAAAGAATCCCTACATCGTCAATTAGTCTCTTCAGCTTCTCATGAGCCTTTTCTCCTGCACTCTGAGGAAGGCGTTTCCAGTCCTTGTTCACAAGTAGGTGCAGTTTTTCATAGGTGGACTCAATTACCTCCAGTTGTTCTGTTATTGTTTCCTTCAGTAACAAATGTTAAAGGAAAAATACATAGTTATGCTGGAACGTGTTAATGGCAGCCATCAAGTGGGTCTTGGATCTATAGACATTTTCTGGCCTGATTAAAGCTGATTCATGTGCTAAGCACACTTACTTCAGGCTAAACAGAAGGAGCAATAAATCCCCTTTATAGAGTGTGATAGCTGGAAAATAGAATTCACTGCCCAAGGCAATGGACCTCGTGGCAAGGCCTGATTAGAAACGAATCCATCTGCCTGAAGGCTTCCCTGAATGCAAAGGTGGGGGGAGAGGATTGTTCGGCAAGATGTGTGTGAGAAAGAGACAGGTGGGCGAGGTTTTGCCCCTGCAGTGTGGGGCACAGGAAATAGGCTGGTTTGAATTAAAGTAAATGGTGGATCGTCTGTAACCTGAAGTCTTCAAATCATGGTCTAAGGACTTCAGTAACTCCACCAGAGGTTTGGGATCTATTGCAGTAGTGGGTGGGCCTGCAATGTGCAGGAAGTCAGGCTAGATGATCATGAGGGTCATTTAAAGTCTATGAATCTTTGAGAAAGCCAGAAAACAGGGGAGAAGCCATTGTCAGTGTGGTCTTGAACAGTAGCAAATGCACAGAGCTCATTGGGGCACAGGACGGCTGGAGAAGCAGACTTGGGACTAGTGAAAGGGAACTGCAGGATGTTGTTTGTGCCTGTTGTGTTCAGGGGAACAGGATTTTGTGTCTATTTTTTGTAAATATACAGGACTGCACCAAAGAAACATCTGATTTGTATCATCCAATTCTCATTCTAATGAAAACCATTTTTCCCTTGGATGGGAACAACCAAGTGAGCCCCAAATGCTGGCTAACGATTTCAGCCTAAGGGGGTTTGGATCACACTTTATATTTCTGATTTGTATTTTGAAGCAAGAATATATTACATCTGTATCACCAGGGGACATTCCTTTAGGGTCTATGATAATATATCCTTCAAATACAAATGATGTTAAAGACCAGTCAAGGTGACCTAAGGCCTCATCCCATTGATCTAAACCCATACAAGCAAGGAATTTCCAAGAAAGGGGAAACTCTCCACCGTGCTCCTGCATGCTCACTTATCCCCTGACAGACTCGAGACCTCCACAATGAACCCCCTCCCTCCTCCAAAGGAGAAAGCAACACACAAGCTACCTCACACTACAATGTAGAATCTTAACTTTGACCATGATGGTCAAGTTTTGTGCTGCTCTATGTGTGACATTTTATCTAAATAATGTAATGTATTAAGTTGCATATATGCATATAATTTAATGTGATCTAAAAATTCTCTGTGATTTGCACACCCTGCTCGGAGCAGTGGGTGGGGCTGTTCCTAGCAATCCCGGTGTCCTACACAGCTGCCCCCCACACTGGTCTGAGGGGAAGAAGGCTGTGCTTAAGGACTGTGGGGCTAGTAGCCAGGCAGGGAGGTAGTGGGGGTGGTGCCTGCCCCCACACTCACTGGCGGTGGTGGGAACCGGAACGACCCAGCCCCAGCCCACTCTGTTCCCTCAGCTCCCAGCCACATCGCTCAGGGGAGGAGGCTTGGGGGAAGGGGTGGAAACACTCCTCACACTCACCCGGCAGCAGGAAGCAGAGTGACACAGCTGGGAGCTAGTGGAGCGGAGTGGGCTGGGGCTGGGTTGTTATTCTTCCCACCACCACCAGTGAAGCAGTCCCCCCAAAGTATACCCCAAATTGAAAAACATAGTAAGAAACCAAAAAGGAGCCACTGTGGCTATACAACCAAGTTGAAGAAGCAGTGAGAGGCAAAAAGGCATCCTTTAAAAAGTGGAAGTTAAATTCTAGTAAGGAAAATAGAAAGGAGCATAAACTCTGGCAAATGAAGTGTAAAAATACAATTAGGAAGGCCAAAAAAGAATTTGAGGAACAGTTAGCCAAAGACTCAAAAAGGAACAGCAAAAATGTTTTCAAGTCACTGGACGATTGAGGTGCTAAAGGAGCACTCAAGGATGATAAGGCCATTGCGGAGAAACTAAATGAATTATTTGCGTCGGTCTTCATGGATGAGGATGTGAGGGAGATTCCCACACCTGAGCCATTCTTTTTATGTGACAGATCTGAGGAACTGTCCCAGATTGAGGTGTCATTAGAGGAGATTTTAGAACAAATTGATCAATTAAACAGCAATAAGTCACCAGGACCGGATGGTATTGACCCAAGAGTTCTGAAGGAACTCAAATGTGAAATTGCAGAACTACTAACTGTAGTCTGTAACCTATCATTGAAATCAGTTTCTGTACCAGATGACTGGATGATAGCTAATGTATCACCAATTTTTTAAAAGGGCTCCAGAGGTAATCCTGGCAATTACAAGCCTGACTTCAGTACCGGGCAAACTGGTTGAAACTATAATAAAGAACAATATTGTCCGACATATAGATGAACATAATTTGTTGAGGAAGAATCAATATGGTTTTAGTAAAGGGAAATCATGCCTCACCAATCTACTAGAATTCTTTGAGGGGGGGGTCAAAAAGCATGTGGACAAAGGGGATCCAGTGGATATAGTGTACTTAGATTTTCGAAAAGCCTTTGACAAGGTCCCTTACCAAAGGCTCTTAAGCTGCCACGGGATAAGAGGGAAGGTCCTGTCATGGATCGGTGACTGGTTAAAAGATAGGAAACAAAGGATAAGTATAAATGGTCAGTTTTCAGAATGGAGAGAGGTAAATAGTGGTGTCCCCCTGTGGCCTGTTCTGGGACAGTCCTATTCAACATATTCATAAATGATCTGGGAAAAAAGGGTTAACAGTGAGGTGGCAAAATTTTCAGATGATACAAAATTACTAAAGATACTTAAGTCCCAGGCAGACTGCGAAGAGCTACAAAAGGATCTCTTAAAACGGGGCAACAAAATGGCAGATGAAATTTAAGGTGGATAAATGCAAAGTAATGCATATTCGAAAGCAGAGTCCCAACTATACATATAAAATGATGGGGTCTAAATTAGCTGTTGCCACTTAAGAAAGAGGTCTTGGAGTCATTGTAGATAGCTCTCTGAAAACATCCACTTAATGTGTAGTGGCAGTCAAAAAAGCAAACAGCATGTTGGGAATCATTAAGAAAGGGATAGAAAATAGGACAGAAAATATCACGTTGCCTCTATATAAATCCATGGTACTCCCACATCTTGAATATTGCATACAGAGGTGGTCGCCCCATCTCAAAAAAGATATATTGGAATTGGAAAAGGGCAACACAAATATAAACGGCTTCTGTATGAGGAGAGATTAATAAGACTGAGGCTTTTCAGCTTGAAAAAGAGATGGCTAAGGGGAGATGTGATTGAGCTCTATAAAATCATGACTCATGTAGAGAAAGTAAATAAGGAAGTGTCGTTTACTTCTTCTTATAACACAAGAACTAGAGGTTATGAAATGAAATTAATAGGCAGCAGGTTTTAAACAAATAAAAGGAAGTATTTCTTCACACAACACACAGTCAACCTGTGCAACTCCTTGCCAGAGAATGCTGTGAAGGCAAAGAC